TGACAACTTCCAGGTTGAAAAGTCCATGACTACATACTTCACAGACCTTAATGATCGACGAACTTTTCTATGTGGTTCAGAGAAAAGTAGGTGAAAAAACCACGGACGTTTCGTTTTTCAAATTTACCGTGACATGTAACGGGCAAAATATGACATTATCTTTATCCCACTGGTCTATTTTAACTAATGCAAAGTGATGTCACGGAAAATTCGTTTTTAGATGTCATTAGGATATGACATTGCCACAGAACAAACGTTAACAAAATATATATAAAGTCACAGTTAAAACGTGACATTAGTTTCATGATACCACGTTTTTACGGTGACTTTTTATGTTTTTGCCGTTACTTTTTTTACAGTGTAGTAGCTCCAAGGAGCCGGGAGGGCGTTTCATAAAAATACTTAAGTCTTCGTTTTATCACAAAACAAAGAATTAAGTCGAGCACTTGAGAATTTTTTACGAAACACCCTCCCAGCTCCTTGGAGCTAAGAGGAAACAAATTTTTCGAAAGAAAACAGATTAATTCAGTAAATATTTTTTTGAAATGATTGTAAAACAACTAACAGCTATCTGATAACACTTGAGTTCTGTATGTTTCTTATGCAAGATTGCTCATGTTTTAGGCCGTGTAGTAGATATAGGCTTCGATGATAAGATGATGATTAACTTTATTTTCAATCTATTATCTTTGTTCGTGGTTCTCCTAACAACATTAGTCGGCAATTATTATTGTAAGTTGTTTTTTGCTTGAAAATATTTTTATATCTTGCATGGTTCAATTTCTAGGCTCTCTTGAATTCGTAACGTGTGGATCAACTTTTAAACTTCTGAATATTCAATCGGGTAGTCGTTTACATTCTCACGATGTCAAATATGGAAGTGGTAGTGGTCAGCAAAGCGTCACCGGCACGCCAAATGTAGATGACCACAATTCTTATTGGCAAGTGAGAGGTGACACGATGAGTGATTGTGAAAGAGGTGCACCAATTCATTGTGGAGATACCGTTCGATTGTTTCATATATCAACAAGACGAAATTTACATAGTCACAATTTTGTTTCGCCATTATCTTATAATCAAGAAGTATCTTGTTATGGTGAAGACGGAGTTGGTGACGAAGGTGATCGTTGGATGGTTGTTTGTACTGATAATAATGATGTTTGGCAACGTAGAAGTGATATAAGATTACAGCATGTTGTTACTAAAAAGTAAGTGTTTTCCTTCGTTATAAAGTTTGTATTTGTCTCCCTTTTTTTTATAGATATCTTCACTTGACCGGGGACACCTATGGAAGACCTATCAGTGGTCAAAAAGAGATATGTGCATATCAAAATATGAATAGCCAAAATATTTGGAGAACAGAAGAAGGCGTTTTTATTCGACCTTCATCAACCGATTTTTCGTCTGGAGATAATCAATCATATCGTACGAAAGAAGAACATTCCAATGATGAGCTATAAATAGACAGAAAAGTTTGCTGATATTCTACAGTCATGTATATTGTAAAATACTAATTGTTAACTTCTTTGCAAAAATACGTTTAGGTTAATTTTTTTGTGATGGTATTTTTCTGTTGTGTCAGACATAAGCTTCACCAAAGGGTGCTCTTGTACGTTTGTTATAAGCTCACATACTCAGTAGATCTGTTTAGATCTTTATCGACTAATGTAGTTGTTGTTGTTGCTGTTATATTTATTTTTTTGTACCTTTTTGTTTTGATGCAAATTAATCTGTACTTCTCAAAGTCGGCTTAAATATAGTAAACATGATTACTCTTTTAATGAAAACCAAAGAGGGTCAATATCTAGTATTTGCTAGTATCTAGGCGTGCCAATAGTTTGCAATGATGTTGGTAATATCGATATCTGCATATCATAACGCTAAACGATTTCTTAAATAAAGTGGGTTTTTTATAAGAAGCTATCTTCTATATGTTGTATGCATTTTCGCCTCTGACACTGGCAAAATTTCTTCTTTGAACATGTGAAAATTTATATAAAAGTTCCTTGAATATGACTTTTGTTTATGACAGTTAGTTAACCTCCTTCTATTTGAAACACGTTGACCGATTAGATATATTCTATTTTCACTCTAATCATTTAGGATCAATGTTGTTTCGTTCTCTTACTTTTTCCTTATTCGATTGAGATTTAATCTGTGTACATTAGTGATAGTATGCGCATGTATATTAAACAACAGTACACGTACATATAATATTTCTCTTTTCTTGTTCCTTTCTCTTTTCATTATATAAAGTTGAACATAACACATAACATCAAACTTTTATTTCAGAACAAACTTCTCTAAAAGAATAACACGATCGATGACACATGCCATCATTATTTGGTAAAAGTCAATTATATAAATATGATGTAACAGTATCAAAAAATCATTTTCTTGCTCTTGTACGTTTACCGGATTATTATTTTCGCTTACCATCGAACTCTTCTTCATCCACAACATGGCCAGTGTTTTCCCGTTCACAACAACAACAAACAATCGAATGTTTAATGAATCACGATTCATTAGCAAAAGATTGTATAAACTACATTGTACAACGTCTTCATATCAAAGATGTACGTATTTCATTTTCAAATCAATTTATTTTTATTCGTTCAAAAACTACTTACTTGTAGAACATTCGAGTCATCGGCGGTTAGTTATTTTGTGTGCTACGTGTGTTAAAATAATAGCACAAGCTTTTATGTTTGCTGTTTTTTGCATATAATATTCATTTAAATGTGTGTTCTTAATAAATAGTCGATAAACTCTTTTTATTTAGTCATCTCATGTTGGGTTAAGATATTACACCAATGGACGTTATTATTGGTTAGATCCCGATTGTCAAATCAAAAAACAATTATCAAAAGATGAATTAAAGCCAATATTCAATTTTTCCATCATGTTTTATCCAATTCAGCCATATTCAATTGTTGATGAAAAAGCAAGGTAAAACAAAAATTATTAGTGGCTTTATTCCTATTTTTGTCAATGTATTCTGATTCATAAGCGTCAATTTAATACGCACAATCATAGTTCGTGACAAATTTGAGTTATTAGATAGGTTCTGTTATATATTTACAGCAGAGATGCTATAATACGGATACAGAATGCATTCACTGGTTAGAACAAGACTATGGACAATATGTCTATTCTTCTAAATCCCGTAGATGGATAATATGTCCATGTACATATATCCGTATTCATATATGTGTATGTATATACGAATATTTGACATTTTAACACTGATTCTATCTAACCGGTTGCGTTTTAAAGGTATGAGGCGAGTTGTTTGAGACTAGGAATAAATATCAGAAAGGAGATAGATATTTTTCAATATTCAAAACCGAACTAGTTAAAATATTATTATTCGCATTTTCACATGTCGATATATATATACGATTAATCTATCTAGCCATACAGAATTTTGAGTACAATATCAAATACATAGTGAGATACCACAAATGAATATCTTTTGAACAGTAAAAACTGACATAAATGAGCCTGAAATTTTGCCATATGTTGAATTAGAGATCTGTGCTAATTACAAAAGGTATAACACAAGCTGTTGTTACGAATTATTCTGAGTTCTTATTTGAATATATCTTTTACAGGATCTAGACGGGGAGTGTAGGAAGTGCAGCATGAGAGTGAGAGTCACAAACTTCTAAGCGTGTTTAGGTTTTGCTAGATGTATATGTTGAGATACAAACTAAAATTCCAGAATCCCAAACATTCATATATGTACATTGATATATTATTCTTCTATGCGATTTAGGAGAATACACATATTGTCCGTATTCTTACTCTAAGACCTATACAGTCAGTGGATACATTCTGTATTCGTATTATGACACCATTCATTTACAGATATCCCTCAACATTTTTTAATCAAAAGTTCATTGTTATAAAAATTGCTTATAAAAACAAATTTTAGATATATACAGGGTCTATAAAAATGTTATGAGAGAATTGAAGTCAGTACACGAGTAGTGCCAGTATATTGTTTTCACGATCCACCTGCATTGAGACAATCAGTATTTCATAGATATATATATATATATATATTAGTATTGATTTAGACTTTTGATATATCAACAAATTTATTTGAATTTTATTTCATCATTATACACAATTCCGGCTAATCAAATTGATTCAATTGTTGCTTGTTGTCTACAAAGTAAGATAATTCAAAAATAAGTGAATATGATCTAGATTAATTTTGAAAATTTCAGGTCTTTTTGGAGATAAATTTAATTTTGAACAAAACATTGGATTTATTGAAACGTTGAAAAATGCTGTGAGTTGTTAAAAAATTGTTGCAAGAAAGAAAAATTCATTTTTTTATATTAAAAATACGTTTTGATTTTGTTTCTCATTTAGGTCGGTATGACTGATAAATTACTTGAATCATTTTTAAAGTCAGTAAATAAGATTTATTGCTCTTTGAATGGACTTGATCCATCAGTAGCGAGAGAAGAATTCATTAAAGAAATATCAGAATTAGATTCATATGGAATCGAACATTTTCTTGTTAAAGTATGCTATTCTATTTATCTCGTTTTACATTTTTAATCTCTTTTTTTTTCCACTTTAGAGTACAATGAATACTCCTGTTTATATTGGCGTTAACTATCGTGGTTTACATACAAAATCAACAGGTCAAAGTTCATTTAAACTTGACGCAAAGTATGTTTGAATAATTTGAATTTTTTTCGTATTAACATAATGTTTTTATTATTTTCTTGTTCTTATCTAGCTGGGACAATGTTATAGCAATCAATTCAAATAAACAACGTCAGATAACAATATCCATAAATAAAAACAATCATCGTTCGTCATTCATCTATTATGCAGAATCGGCTAATTATAATCGATATTGTGTTCGTATATTAAATTTATTTCGTAATTATTTTCTTAAGCATAATCCACAAACTACAATTAAGTGAGTTTAAATATTTAATTTTTTAGTAAAATTTTTTCTTTTAAAAATATCTATTTTCAGAGATAGAGTATCAAATGATCACAATATTATTTTGAAAATAACAAATCAGCAATTATTTAAAAAAAATTCATTAATTCACAGTGTGCCTGATCTTCGTTCCTCATCCACCGATGCCAAAACAACGCCCATATCATCAATATTATCCTCAATATCTTGTCATTCGAACAATAGTGCTGTGACAACAGGAAGTTTACCAAATTTATCAATACAACTTTTAACATTAACAAAACAAAAAATAAAACAAAAAAATGATGTTTATGCAACATTCTCAGATAATCTCAATCAAGTTCAAACAAATAATAATGATGAACCTATAGTATTCTCAAAAAAAGTAAGCTATAGATAAATACTTGCATAAAATGAATTCAGAATCACAGTGCTGCACTGTAGTAGACGAGTATATGTTTACTTATCTTTGAAATAGTGTAACTTGTTACTGTTTTACTGAATGTTGTAGAAACGCTTTGTTAAATATGATTCTAATTGTTATAGGTTGCTGTTGAACATCAACAGGTACCTTCTACCGATAAACTTTCATGTCAATCAGATTTACAATGCCTACCACAAATGATTTATCAACAGAGCGATAAATTTCCTATCGAGGTTGGTAACTCCCATACTTCTTCATTTAGTTTATTTAATCCTCTTCATTTTATTCACTTCATTCCTCTTATTTTTCTTCTTTTTTTTGCAATTGGTTTCTTGTTTGTTTTTGTCTTCTTTTTTTCTCTTTCTCCTCATATTGACAGTTAACTTCATTGAACATACCGTCAAATGTTGGTCTCAGTTGTTCATTAGTTATAATTGGTCAGTGCTACAGTAATACAAAATTAAAATTTCAACAAAATGATCAGCAGCAGCAGCATCCAACACTTTCACCTTGTTTTTCTTGTCAATGTTTAAAAAATGCTAAACATGAGGTAAGAACATGCATGGTAAATTTTTTCTGTGATCTATATGCATGTGTTGTGGAGAAAAAAAGCGAGACTTACATAAATTTGCATGAAACGATGCTTGCATGATTTGAATAAATTAAACTATGTTTCAATTTATATTGGCTAAATGAGACATCTTAAGTTGTAAAGGATAATTGTTCAAGTTCATTAATAAATAACGTGAGAATTTTCACGTTTATAAAAATATATCGTTTTATCAGTAATGAATCGCATCCGTACCTATCGTTATTGACAGAAGAGATGATCATTTTTGAATGTGATATTATCTTTCGATTAATTCATCAACTTTACAATAGAATAATTCATTTTTTTCTTGTTTCTCTCCACGAGAGAGTCCAGTTATACATTTTTTTTTCTGCTTTATTCTATCTTTTATAATATAAATTGTAATTAACATTTATTATGATTTTTGTCACTAACTGATTCTGGTTTGTTTGTTTATTTTTCTACTTTACTCTATTTCTCTGTGTCTCTATTTATGTTTACAAAAAAATTTCGTTCACTATGACAAATATGTCAAAGTAAAAAAATGAGAGAGGAAAGCTTTTTTTCTGTTTATCTAAGTTTTTAATATGTGTGTGTCTATGTATTCTTCTAGAATTTAAAGAGGAATGAGTCAATTCGAACCGACATAATACCACATTCGACTTTATCGTCTACAAATAATCGAACACATCAGGTATGCTTAAGGGGGATCCACCATTTTAGTTCATTGGAGAGGATACTTCAAAATATATATGAAAAGAGTCTGAAGGTTTATGAACTTGTAGTTTCTAGAAAAAAATATTTTAATTTTTTTTTTGACCCTTTTTGCCCATTTTTTGAAATTTAACGATAATTTTTACTTTTCAGTTTGAAATCTCGGTTTTATAACCAATCGATAGAGTGTCTCAAGACGAATATGTGAAAAGATTATCATCATTTCCGGACAAGGTCTGTCGGAAAAATCTGAGCTTGAGAATGTTTTTTTTGGGATCAAAACTGTGCTTTTTCGAGATCTTGCCTGCAGTTTCTTTGCTGGGAAGCATGTTGGATCAGAAATGAGAGTGTAGAAGTTGTTTATCATGATTTTTTTTCTATCGGATAATACCTTGCTGTCGCTAAATTTCTTAAGGTCAAACTTTGAAATTGAAAATACTGAGATGCTACACTGCCGAGAGAAGATGCTCAAATTTTGACAGTACTTTCTCTTTTCTTCTGATCCAGAAGAAAGTGTCCAGAAAATCTGAAACTCATAGAACATAGACACTTTCACATACGGAATCGAAAGAAAGTGTACAATGACTTTTACAGCTGTATAAAATTTCATCTTGTTTAAATTAAAAAATAAAATGTTTCATGAATTTTCGACCTTCACAGTCATTGAAATATTGTGTTTTTCAATTTAAACAAGATGAAATTTCATACAGCTGTAAAAATCATCGTATTCTTAATACTAAAATCGTTGGCCAGTCTTTAGAATGTTGAATGGGAATGTCAAAAGTCGAAAAAAATAAAGATGTTCAGGATTGGATTTTCAGACGTACGGAGCGCAAAAAAAGTCCTGGACCTTGAATATAGTTTCGTTCAAAGAAAGCAATTTCAAGGAAAAGTATGGGTTTAAAAGTTGTCGAAATCAGATTCCCTAGAATATGAACGAAGGATTTTTCAAAATTTGTTAAACTGGACTTTTCAATTGATTTTTACGAAGGTTACGTATTTTTCAGTTTAAAAATCCAGTTTAACGAATTTTGAAAATTTCTTCGTTCATATTCTAGGGAATCTGATTTCGACAACTTTTAAACCCATACTTTTCCTTGAAATTGCTTTCTTTGAACGAAATTTGGTTCAAGGTAGTTTTAAAAATACTTTTTGCTCCTAAATTCCATAGAGCAGATCAAAGCGGAATAACTCAGTCAAAATTTTTAATTAAATATGGTAAAAATCTTTTTTAAGATACATCTTGATGCCTTCTATCGATTGATATCAAAACTAATAAGTAGAAATTTGAAAATTTAAAAACACGACAAAAAATTGAGGAAAAACTTTAAAAAAACTTTCTTGAAAACTACAAGTCCGATAATCGTAAAAACTTTGCCATATGTATTTCAAACTGTCCTCTACAAACTGATAAAAAAAAATCGAGTGACTAGACCCTCCTTAACTTAGCGATTTTGAATGATTAAACGTTATGAAATTTCGTATATTTTAGAATAGTAGAACATTTTTGACATCGACGTCTGTACCGTTGGAAACGCAATCAGCTGGCGATGTTTGGGTACGTATATAACACAAGGTATTATTTTTTGAATTAGTGAATGCTTAGAACGTTCCGCAGAAGAATGTTAATGATTCATCACTATGATCATATATCAGTCAGAATGACATAGCTCGGAAAGTCAAATTGAGCATAGTTATTCGTATAGACGAGGCGCCATTTGTATTTGTAGTTTGATATGAATATGTGAATTTTCTGTTTAGTTAGCAGAATTTGTATCAAAAGTAGAATCTGGAAGTGTTTACGATGAATTTGATTCAATTCCGTTATGTCGTATGGATACTAACAATCTATTTCAAGATGGTCGATTATCAGAGAACGCGAAACGAAACAGATTTGCCGATGTTATCCCATACAATGATACACGTGTTCGACTTATTCCCATTAAGGAAAATCTTCATGGTTATATAAATGCATCTCATGTCAAAGTGAGCAAGCTTAAATAAATAAAATGTTTCATCTCTACGAAAATGAACATTATTGTTGTTGTTGTTTTCTAGATTCGTATACAGAATACAATTTATTCATACATCGCAACTGAGGCACCTCTACCATTAACAATATCTGATTTTTGGAGAATGATTTCATTGAATAATATTCATGTTATTGTCATGTTAATTGGAGATTTAATTGAGAATGATCAACAAATGTGTGCTCATTATTTTCCATTGAAAAAAGACGATCTGTTAAGAACAAGCGAGGTTAGTGTGTTTTGGTTTCGAGTAAATAATGTATTTTTTTTGATTATTTATTCATTTTTAGTTCGAAATTGAACTTATATCAGAACAAATACGCGTCGATTTCATTATACGACATTTTCGAATGTATGCCATTAATGGGCAACGAATAAGAACAGTTGTTCATTTACAATACACAGCTTGGGATGATAATCAATTACCGTTAGAATGCCAATCATTCATTGGTAACTACTTTTATTCAATGGTAACTGTTAGATAAATTTGAATGTTTTTTGTTCGTTTTTAGATTTTGTCAATGAAGTTGATTGTGTACGTCGTTATTACGGTGAGACGAATCCATGTTTAGTTCATTGTACAGCTGGAATAGGTAATAAATCCTTGTTGGAAGCTTATATTCATATATTACATATATTGTTTTCTTAATTAAAAAGGTCGAACTGGTTTATTCATCCTCATTCATGTAATGATTCAGTGTATTAATTTTAATAAGGTATAAAGTAAATTTAATATTTTTAATTTATTGTCTGTTTATACATAAGTTTATTTATTCTTCTAGAAAGTAAGCGTATCGAGTGTATTGAAAGTAATGCGAGAACATCGAATGTCATTAGTTGATCGAACATATCAATATGTGTTTGTTTACCGTTGTCTTATTACCTATCTTAAATCATTACGGCTTATCTAATTGTGTATAACACATCTTTTTTCGTGTGAATATCTCTCATTCTCGATCAAAATTATTAACATTATTTCGAATTCAAAATGAAACATTCCATTTTTTTATTATTCTTTAACATTCCTTTTCTGTTCTCGTTTTGTATATTTTATCTAGATTGGAACGATTTCTGTTTTTATTTGTATTGCTTAATCTTCTGTATATTAGTCACAGCTATTGTTATTATGTCGTTGTTCATTTTTGCTCATGTTTAATATCATCACATTACGTGTAGATACATGTACTTCTCTTTTATGTGTATTTTGTTTTTGTATTTGAATAATGAAACGTTTTCTTTGGTAAAAATTGTTAAAATTGGCAAATATGAGACCAATGAGATCGATAATTCTCAAACTTGAAAACTACTTGCACTCGGTATGTTCTTTGACATATCAAAAGGAAATTTGGTCTTTCTTGTCTATGAGATTTATTAGATTAATCTGTTTTCTTGGTGGTACAGTGGTGTCGATTTATGGTAGTGGTCGTTCCTAAGATAATATCCGATTTCATACCACCATTTAAATCTCACTGGTTCGCAGGATGAGAACGAGACCGAGGCTTCTATATTTCGACAAATTCTTTTTGACATATATTCATGGGACTCAATCGTTTTAGTATTTAGCCTTCATTTTTTCATATTTAACTTTAACATATCGAAAAAGTTAAAACGCTAAAAAGTATGTGTATTCTCTATTGTTTTAATATTTTTTAGAGAGTAATGCTGTTCACAGAGAATAAAGCGAAGCATTCTATTGAGCAGAAAAAAGTAGATCGAATGAACCTCATCAATGTATGTCAAAAAAATCTGTTAAAATATAATAGCCTTTTCTCTACAAGCACTTGGAAAGCCTTCGTCCTTGCTCTATTCGTTTGAAAAGTGTCCATTATACAACATTCACTGATTATAATGATGTACGCGTGAGATGTTCTTTGAAATTCCTGAAATGTTTGTTTAAAAATCTCAATACTTTCGGGCAAAGCTCCGAAATTCCTAAACTTTCCAAAAAAATCTTTTATAACAGCGAATGTCTCAAGTAGAGATCTGCACGGACACGGACGTGCTCGTTCATTCCCGCGGGCACGGGTACACTTGGGCAACTGCTCCCGTCGACGAGCACGGATTTTTACAAAAATATTTTAAAGCTTTTGAGCAGCAAAATGGATTTGAATTTTTGAATTGAAAATTTTTTTCTGCACGTGCACGGATAAGCACGGGCGGCGAAAAAAAGTTCACACACGGGCACGGACAAGCGCCCTCAATAGAGCTACGGGCCACGGGCACAAAAATCTTGCCCGTGCAGATCTCTAGTCTCAGCTCAAGTCACCATTTTCCGGGCAAGTTATCCTGTTAAATATATGTATTTATTTACGTTGATTCACATTTTATCAACAAAAAACCGTATTTATAATGGTAACTTGGTTATTGTTTGTAGGTCACTTGAACCATCTGTACTTTATGTTCACTTGCATCAGGGACAGAATGAAAAACTGTGATATTGACCATTTTGTTCTGTTTGATTGCTGTTTTCAAACTCAATAGTACCGACCGTGCACTATAGGCTTGTTTGTTCAGCCTCGATAATTTTTCCGATATAGTTTCACGCGGTAAAAAATACACTAATATGCAAGACCTAATATTTTTCACAAGAAAAACTGTGAAATTATGATTCATTGAGACATATGGCGTCTCTAACCGATAAGTGGTCTTCGGTACAATTTTAATTGTTTTTTGAAATCAATACTTAGATCGATGCGAAAATCTGTGAGGAAGACTGTCAGGGTATGGTGTCGTTGACTGATAATGTAAAAAACCAATAATGTGCTTGAGTGTTTTTTCGCTCCGTTATGACCGTGAAATAGTTGTTTTTACACTGCACTTCTTCAAACATTATTTAAACTTCAACTCTCACGCTCTAGTTCAACGCGGCATGGTAACAAAAAAAGATTTCGTAGATGTACCACATCATTTTTTATTTGAATATCTTGTAGCCCTTAAAAAGCTCTTTCCAGTGGTTATATCTAAAATACTTCATAATCACAAGCAGTTGGTTTTTCTTTTTATCGGTTTTGTTAAAAATCACCATATATAAATTCTCGTGTTGAGGCAGTTAGGAAAATCTTTTATAACTTACTCAAAATCAAATATTTTGAGATCGAGTACATTTAGAAGAATTGTTCTATCACACCCGAACAGAGAGAGTTCAGCACTTTCATTTCTTTTTATAAAGGCGAAAGTGTCAAATTTTACGATGAATTTTGGTTAGGTCGCCTGTTGTGGCAAAAAAAATACATTTAAAGCGAACCTATGATACACATATAGGTACGAAAATCGATTTCAACTTTTGACAAGACGAAGACACATCGATCTACTCAGTATTTTTTTGTTCAATTCTGTATAATCAACGTTCCTGTAAAAAGTTTTTTTTTATTAATGATGGGTTACTGTTGCCATTTAGTTAAATATTTAGCCGTCTTTGAGCATGTTTATCAATTCCGAAATAAAATACTTTGATTTGTGATTTAGACATATTTTTTTTTCTTTAATTTGTGATATGGCACGATGTTATTATAAGTTTATGTAGTATAAGTAAAAATGCGATTAATTGATTTATATTCAAAGTTTTAGACGACATATATAAAATAAAACCATTAACAAGAACAGATTACGAAATGAAAAGTGCGTAGATATTCCATTGTTTGTTATTGTTGTTATTGTTGTTGTTGTTGGTGTTGTTGTTGGTGTTGTTGTTGTTATTCCTGACACGTTAAAAATGTTTGTGATATTATCCAATGAACCATCAGTGGCATATTTGTTTGGTATCAAATTTAAAATTTCACATGCCATTTGATAAATATCGACATTATTCAGAGTTTCGAGTGTGAAACCTTTTTTAAAATAGGGACCTTTTGCCATGAATATTGCTTTCATTGATGGAAACTCATTATCCCACCCATGAGCGCCACGATTTGGATAAGAACTGTTCTGGGTATCCTATAGAATAGACAAAATGTCTTTCATTTATCGTGTTGTCTAAAAACGTCACTTACCCCAGACAAAACTATTCCGTCTTCATCGGGAATAACAAACACTTCGCCGAGACGATTTATGTTTTTCGAATAATGCAATCTTTCAGGCATTGTCGCTCTCGTGTACACAGTTACATTAGGAATTTTTTGTAATCCAGCGATCACGTCAGCAGTCTACAAACATCTCTTACTTATCTCATGGTAAGTTAGTAACTTGAGTTTTCACTTTTTTAAGACTCACTGCATTAATAATTTCATTCTTTTATACATACTCTGTTCGGCTTCGGATTAACGTTAAACACTCCACCCGTTAAAAATTGACTATCAATCATTGATCTATCGATATACTTTTCAAAAAATGGTCTTATCACTTTCTTAACATTCACCATGCCATGATCAGACAGAAGAATGATATTCAAATCATCGTTCAGATCTTCTTTGACTTTATCCAATAAATATTGGAGATCACCATCTAAACGAGTCAACTAAAACCAAAAATATTTATAAATATTAGTTCAAATTTTATGCTTACTGCGTCTTGTACTTCTTTTGAATCAGTACCGTATGTGCTAAAATATTCAACAAGTACTTAAATCAGTGATGGTACTAGTACAGGAAAAAGATACTTGAAATTTTTTCATAGTAGTGACATAACAACAATTTTCAGCTAAAAATGATCGAGTAGCGGATGCGTAACTTACTGTCCCTGCTTGTCTGGTTCAGGATGATACAGCATCACAAGATCCAGCATGGGAATTTCACGAAAATATGATAACGCATTATTAATTTTGTCGCGAAATTGAATATTATCGCTATAAACCCAACTGTAGATAAGCGGTAGTGTTCCATTGAATTTGCTGTCTGCTGCTGGCCAGAATAAAACAGCTGATTTTACACCCTTCGAAAAACAGAATAGATGATATCCCATGTCGTTAAAATCGCTCCATTCTGGACGATTACTTGCGATTAGCAATAAAATCGCCAATTATTCGCAATTCTAACTGTAATCGTTCAAAAATTGCGATATATCGGCGATTTTTAACAACTGGTGACTAATCGGCTTGCATGAAAAATCGCCAGTTGTTACAAATCACCGATATATCGTCATTCTTAAAGATCATGGTGATTTTTCTATTTTTTTAATAATGGTCAATTAATTGCGATTAATTGTTAATTTTAACCCATTAAATGGTTTTTTGTTATTCACCATTTTATTCTGCAGTAGAGTAAGTAGATGAGAAACATGATTTAAGCGAGAAATGTTCTTCTTTTCAGATGATCTTTTTAGTTTAACTTAAAACGGAGTTGCCAAGGATGTTCTCTGTAGTTTCCTCAGAGCTGGCTCATTGTTTCGATTTGAATCAGCTTTGTACCAAGGAGCCCAGCTGACTGTTAGACTATAAACTCGCCGATTTACTGACGATTAAGCGCATGATAAATCGGCTGAGTAATCGCTAAAAAATTGTCGATTTATGGCCGATTTTGACTGCATGGGTTATAAGAGTTGAAAAGTTAGACAGTACCTGTTTCGTAGCTGTTATCCAAATGGGTTCTACCGTATAATTCCAATGTGTATCATCTCTAATAGACATACCAAATGTTTTATTAAGTGACCGATCATAAAATGTATTGTGAACGACCCCATGATTATCCTGATACATTCCTAAAATATAGGATACATTATGGTTCCATTTCTATTAATGTTCAACAACATTAATACCTGTTGCAATTGAAATATGATTTGGAAATGTCATAGTGGTGAATGTCGCTTTCATTCCATTACTAGCCACACCTCCATCTCTTCGAAATTGGTCTACTATAGGAAACGAATAGTTTGCCAAATAGTCGTGACGAAATCCTATTATAAAAAATAAAAGCGAATCAGTTTAATATTACGCATAATGTGAATGGTATATTATTGATATAAAGACTACTGTACTCAGTTTCAAAGTTATGAATAGTCACAAAGGTATTCTTCAACTTTTATTGTCCCTTCTGCTCATACGTTAAGACATACTGTTAAACATCAGATTATTGGTTACCGTCAAGTGATATAATTAAAAGTCGTTCTCGTCTTTGACCATTTGGTTGTTGAAATTGTTTACTATTCAGTTCTCTAATAAAAGTTAGCAGTAGAGGTACACAGAGAACCGTCTTCATCTTATATGGTACATATTAAAATTATTTACGATGTTTTCAATGTCTCGTAGTTAATATAAAGGTCAGCGATAGTCTTATCGTTTTAAAAAAAATAATAAAAAAAAAAAGTTTCTCTAATTCTTCCTTCCATCAAAAAGGCAGTTAAACAAGTGTCGATAACAATAGCAACGACAATAAAAAATAAATAGTAAATCATCTTTGAAAGGAACGAATAATATATAAAACAGACATTAGATCCAATAACAGATATAGTTGATAGCACCTACATAAATATAACAACATAATAAGTAAAATAGTGAAAACTCATTTTTAAAAGACTTTCTTTTGACAGTTGATATTTAAGAGAAACATGTCACAGTATATAAATTACATACGATATTTCAATATACGTTTGAAAAAGTATTTACTTCTACCAATCAACTCTCTCTTATGAACTTTCTTCAGGTAGACTGATGCTTTCCTAAACTAGAAATTCAATAATCACTTGCGGAATTTTTTAAACCACTAATCATTATCAAATAGAAAAAATTCACAGTTTTGAGAGCTGATCTCTGCAAGATATGTTTTATGCGTCAGAAGTGGGTTACAGTTTAAATTTTGTTTTGCTTATCTACACAATTGTAAAGATATTTCGTGTATTAAATTAAGTCTCGCCATATTTGCCAGAGTAAATATGCATTTTTCTCATAGCAAACAGGGATCACAGGGGAATTTTTAGCTAATTAATTAATTTTCTTTTTTCATGAATAATTATCATTGCTTAGTTATTTGTGATATTTTAAGGCTTATTGTATTATAGATGGTTCGGTGCAATTCAACTCGCTGATCAGGAATATGTCATTTTTATCGAGAAGAAATACTTTTGTGGTGGAGAAAATAGATTTTACTTGAGAAACCACGAATTTCTGGAAAATCTATTATAAAATCCAAAAACATTTGCGCATAGAATGTAAACGCAAGTTTGAACATAAACTTGGAGAACTATGGAGACTCATTACATTAAAGAGATAAGTATACAGCTTTTTTGTTCGAAAACAAGATTACTTTTTCATGTACAAATGACAGTAAAACAATACATTTTTAGCATTTTCCGTTTGTCATTCAGATAACTCGACATGCTCTACAAGACAGATAGATCGAAATCTCTTAATCTTGGATTTTAGGTTGGATCTTAAGAGACCAGTTTTCCAGAGATCCACGCCGAAAGTCTATATGGATCCAAATGACAGTACTTGACAGAACACGCACAAACGTAACGTTCGACACATTTTGTGGTGTTCACATTTAGTTCAACCATGTTACTAAATCTGAAACAAAGAATAATAAAAAAGGACCAGCAATCCTCTGCTAATACGAGAATGAATACTCAAGTGGTAGCAAAGGATATTTTGTCTGATCTGATCTGTTGATTAATAACATAAAAAAATCAATAATGTGCTCTAGTATTTTTTCGCCCGTTATGACCGTGGAATAGTTGTTTTTAGAGTGCATTTCTTCAAACATTATTTAAACTTCAGCTCTCTGGTCTGAGAGCTCGGGAGGATCTCTCGTCTCAAAATGACGAAAAAATATTTGGCTAGAGGCCTAAAAGAAACACTTTTTCATTTTTTGTCGGATTTCTAACTGAAAGGAGATCTTTTTGATTTAAAAGGATAATATCTATATCATACCATTTTTTCGTACCAAAAATTTCGTTGCAGTTGTCGATTAATTGTGTCAATAAATAGTTAGTGGCGACAACAATAACTCTGTTGTCATCATTAAGCATGCAACAGTCATATCACCGGAAAAAAAATAAAGTTGGTTTAGAGTTGCTGAAAAGTGGTTTTTCATACTCAGCAAACTCGATAACCCAGAAGATTTTCTGTTTTTGGCCCGAGGTACTTCCGAAAGTTTAGGAAAAGTTTTCAAATTAATATTATTTTTCCATGGAAAACTTTTTGCGCCATTTTGTTTCAAAATTTTTCTTAAACTTTCGGAAGTACCCCGGGCCAAAAATAGAAAATCTTCTGGGTTATCGAGTGTGATGAATACGAAAAATCACTTTTCAGCAACTCTAAACCAACTTTATTTTTTTTGTTCCGGTGATATGTACGGTTAACTGTAACTGTAAAAACTGTCTGTTAAAAAATTGTCTCAGTTAAAACTGTCACAGTTAAAAATTGTTACAGTTAAAAATTCTTGGTAGAAGCAAACACAATTCGAACATTTGGAGTGTGTATAAGCGTCGGGCGATATCTATTTACAGTTAGTATTTAATTTTCATGCTTCGAGAATATTGAAGAGATTGAAATACAGTATTTCAATATTAAATACTCTTCAATATTCTCGAAACATGAAAATCAAATACTAACTGTAAATAGATATCGCCCGACGCTTATACACACTCCAAATGTTCGAATTGTGTTTGCTTCTTTCAAAAATTTTTAACTATAACAGTCCTTAACTGTGACTGTTTTAACTGAGACAGTTTTACAGTTCTACAATTTTACAGTTACAGTTAACTGCACTTTAACTGAAACTGGTGCATACCTAGTCACCATAATGTATAATAACCTGTCTGTATAACCTGAATAATCCAAGACCAAATCGATTATTGAATGTTGTATAGTGAACTGCAAGATATGCAGCAATACGCAGAGATGCAACCGGTCAACAAAATCATAACCGGTACCGGCCGGTCACCGGTTATCGGTGAACATATGCAGACCGGACCGGACCGACCGATTGACCGGTCATTCTTATAAAAATTTTGACCGGTAGGCAACCGGTACTGACGTTTGAGTGCGAGAGAAATGTTTAAATCTGTGTGATATGTCAGCAAATAAAAATCAGATAGATTAAAGTGTTTGTTAGGATAGGCAGAAATGTCTGCATCACTACGTCTTTTGCATTTCTTCTTTTCTTTTGGAATAAAGAATTTGCTTTATATGTTGTTAGGCGTATCTAGTACGCGGTAATTCATTTTATTTATTATGTT